TGATAGTGGAAAAGAAAGAGAATAAAGGAAACCATCTGAAAAAAAAAAAATTATACAAATAAGAAAGAAGTAATCTAACCCCCTAAAGATTCGCGACCTTCTTCGTGATCCAACAGTTACAGTGGCAGGGGGGGTGGAGGGGTTGGTAGTCGGGATCTGGGTTCTGGGCTGGTGCGGTTGCGATATTATGAAAAGTTGCTGAATTGGAATTGGTGGGTTGGGGGAGGGTGGATCAAAGTCCGAAACATAGTCGGGCGATCTTTTGTGAGCCTTTCTCCTATGGAAATGGTCCTCAGGCTTCCTCTTCTGCAGCATCGCTGTCTACTTGGTCGATAAATGTGAAGACGTGAGTAGCTTCGTGGAGCTTGATCATCAGTCTAGGTGACAACGACTGCGACGGATAGGAAGCTTCCCTGGGAAAGTTCGGCGCCAACTGGTAGTCAACTGGAGTACCGCATGCTTGGTTGGTGAGTTGTTGGAACCAGGGTCCTGATCCTCTCCTCACGAGTTGCCGAAGAAGTAAATGAGAGGTGTCCGCCTTAGCTGCCTGCTGGAAGAAGCCCTTGAAGAAGAAGGCAATAGGAGAAATGAAGCCCGAAAGTTTGCCAATAGAAGGAAGGTTCTCAGTGAGGCTGAGTAGGCCACTGTTGACCCAAAACCTGAAAGCGCTATCTTTGGCCGAAGTCAAGCATAGAGCAAAGCAGTAGAAAGGTATTCAGAGGTCGTGAGCGTGCCAGCTAAGCGCTTACCTGAGCCTGCTCGAGTGGAGTTTGGAGATTGAGGCTGCACATGCCAAAAAAGATTAAAGAAAGGACGAGGTTTGAGTAGAATGAGTGGGAGATTATTTGTACTGCCTGGTCGCATTTTAGGAAGAAAAGGTTTGCGCGCCGTTTTGCAGTGTGCAGAAGGAGGCTTCCTCTACGAACTCCAAGAGGTCAGAGGCAACAAGGTTCGAACCGAAAGTCCTTTCAATGAGATTGTGCTGGAGCGATGTGATTGAGGAGGAAAAAATGAATGGGAGAAGGGAGAGGTGGAGTGGGAAAAGAGAGGCCGTTGGTGGGTCTAAAACGAAGATTCGCTAAATGATTTTTTTTGCTGAGGTGGGTGATAAGGATAACGAGGATTGGATTGGAGTGATAAGGGAGGAAAAGATGGTAACGAGTTGCTCGTTGGAGATTTCGTCGTGGGATTGGATAGTAAGGTTGGAAGAAAAAAATAAGAGCAGAAGCGGGTCGAAGAGGGGCGAAGAGGTAGATGCGAGGGAGTGAAAAAATGAGGATGGTCAGTGGGACTTAGTGGCTTGATGGCGCAGTGCCTTTGGTGGTTGGGGTAACGGGGGTGGTGGGTCTCCGACTCTGCATGCAAACGGGTTCATGATGTGTAGGGAAGGGAGATGGCGACTGACTTACCGGGAAATATTGGACAGACGAGGGAGGACTGACTGAGGGACCGGTGGTTTATGACCACCTTGAATAGCGATGGCGACACTACCTTGACTGACGACCTTGACCGATGACCTTGACAGACGTGAGAATTCGACCGGTGACGACCGCACGGCCTTGACTGACGACACTGACTGACAACGGTGAGCAAAGCCGACGAACTGCGACCTGAGAGTCCTCCCACCAAAATCTAGGCGAGGGAAAAAGGACTCGACCTCTGAGGGACCTGACCCTTGTGTGGTGTGCGCGCAGGTTTGCGTTCGCGATGAATGCTGCGAGCAACTGGGGCCTGGAAAGCGCAGCGCGGGAGGGCACACAAGCTATCGTGGCGGGGCAGGCGCCTGTGACTTATATTGTCCCAGGGCAGGGCAGTGGGACCGGAAGGACCAGCGAGACCGTATTCCAGCCCGGGTAAGTTGTCACGTCGGTCGTGTTGCTTGTTTGCCTGTTGGGACCTTGTGGTGATTGTAGGCCTTAGATTCTGTAGATCTAAGGCTGGCGAATAAAGTTGAGGTTGGTAACCCCTGGTACTGAGTTCCAACTGTTGCTTCTGTCTGTTATCCTTGCTGATGTAGTCCGAGGATGTATGCTTGCTGCATCTGGATCGTTGAAGTTATGTTCACCCAGAAACCCGGTTGCTGGCATAATGCTTGCAATTACCATTTGGACCCGAACGGACGACCCGTATGACCAAACAACGGAATTTGTCTCAGGGGTATACAACGCAGCCCTCACAGGCTGCAAACAACCCTAGGACAACGGGGGTATACAACGCAGCCCTCACAGGCTGCAAACAACCCTAGGACAACGGGGGTATACAATGCAGCCCTCACAGGCTGCAAACAACCCTAGGACAACGCTACAAATCCGTGGCCCCAGGAAAACGAAGCCACCCTTATCGAACAGATGCAGGGCCCTACTACTTTTTTTTTTTTACAGGAAAACTCAGCTCGTTTGATTGCGCACACCAAAAGAGAGGCCGGGAAACCTCACCAAACAACCTGGAGAAAGCGTAACAGACTTTACTGGGGCCTATACCCAGCCTAGGAGTAGGCGTCAGGGTGAAAAATCCAGAGATGGCCAATACCAGACCGCTGTCCTGATATCCCCCGACCCTGAAAATAAAAGAGCCACAGGCCTGAAAAACCTACGACACACACCAGGAAAAGCACCTACAAGAAACAACACCACATGGTCTGAAAAACCACACAAACCAGAACCACCTATAGAAAAACCACCCCTCACGATCCGAAAACAAAAACCAAACTGTCCTACAAACCTACCTGGCTACGGTAGCTATTCCGAGTCCTTTGTCTACAGAAAATATTCCCACAAGGGCGGGAAATCTCACAAACCAGAAATTGAACTTCGAGCCCAGTTACCATCGCTGCCTCAGAGAGAACCATACTACCGGTAGCTACCCTACAGAGAACCTACGACCTGGTAGGCGATACGCTTGTTCCCCCGAATAAAACGTTAGGTAAAAATAGCCGTATCTAGACTAAAATGTGGCCCAAATTCGGCTATAGTGACCGAAAGTTTTATTCGGGGGAAGAACGTAGCCTACCGGTAGTTAGGACCCTACTACTAGATAGAACCACAGCCTTAGAGCTGCTAAGTGTTGTGTCGGCCAGTAGAAGAGCACAAGAGTCTGCCTTGACAGGGGAAGCGGATGCGTCAGATCTCCAATCTTCCTTTTTATAGCATGGTTTTGGGGGGACGCGGGGGAAAGAGCGCGCCAAAGCTGTTCGCTGGGAGGTCTTGGGAAAGAGGGAGTCCTCGGGCGCTGCCCGAATACAAGACACCATGGACTCCTTGACCGTATAGACTGGTGTTCTTCTGGCAAGGCAAGCAAGCCAGGCGGGCGACGCCATGGAGAAGTGCGAAGCGCTGCAGGCGCTAGGCTGACAACGTGGCAGAGCTACGTCGCATCGCCGACGAGCTGCCGCCACAGCAGGGTTCGCACTGCAACGGGCTCCGCGCAGGAGTTGATAAGAACCGAAGCGGCGGGTTGGTTTTGGGGGGGCAGGGGGGGCAGGGGAAAGGGTAGGGGCAGCAGTAGCAAGTTACGCTCTGCCGTGTGCTGGCCTTAGAGGAGGACGAGCAACGCCACGGCCATGGGATTGGATCCGGTTAATAAGGCGAGGTCCGGGGATGCACTGCTTCGGATGGGAAAGGAAGCTTTGTTTCTGATCTTATACATTGAGAGCACAGCCAAGGTGTCCGCGTGCTTGTGTTCGTAAATCTCCGCGTGTGCGGGTGTGTGCGCGCGCGCGTAACAGATGGGTAGATAGATAGATAGATAGGTAGATAGATAGATTGATAGATAGATAGATAGATAGATAGATAGAGAGAGAGAGAGAGAGAGAGAGAGAGAGAGAGAGAGAGAGAGAGAGAGAGAGACGCACGCGCGCGCGTAACAGATGGGTGGATAGATAGATAGATAGGTAGATAGATAGATAGATAGATAGATAGATAGATAGATAGAGAGAGAGACTCACGCGCGTGCGCGCGTGCGCGCGTGAGAGAGAGAGAGAGAGAGAGAGAGAGAGAGAGAGAGAGG